TATAGAGGGAACCTTTTGCAGAGGGTAAATTAGATTTTTTTGGAAAAAATCATGTAACTTATTACATGTAACGTTTGCACAGGTTCAACTTTCTGGAGAGGCATAAACTTTTGCAGAGGCGCACCATTATAGAGCGAACCTTTTGCAGAGGCGTACATTAGATTTTTTTTTGGAAAAAATCATGCAACTTTTTCTCCAGTTTTTCTAAATTTCCCTCCCCCCCTTTAATTTCCTTTGTTTCTTGAATGAACTAACGATTTTGAATAGATTCTGAGCTTTCCCATTTAACCTTTTTTTAACTTAAAAAGCAAAATGGGGAAGAGGGGGATTTTTTGTTTTTAAATTTATATCATAATGGAATAAATGAATTAAATTTCTTAAATTTCACCCTCGAGCAATAAATTCTCCCATTTCATTTACAATTAAATAATTAAATAAAAAGAACAAACAACATAATGATTTAAAGTAACCATGAATGATTTATCATATTGTAGAAGAACATAACATTTTTATTGAACAGTGTTAAATAACACTAACCATTCGTTTGAAAGCTTCTGATAATTTTTATATATCAATACATCCATACTAAACATACCCAACGTTGATGGATTTCTGTTTAACACTAGAAGTTTTGTCGTCTTCCTTCTGTCTTTTAAAAGGTTTTTAACAATAACCAATAACAAAATACTTTGTAAATTTTCAATAAAAACCTTTAAGTAACAATAATTCCACAGTTTTCTATAGTTATCACTGTTAAATAAAAAGATCCATAATCTAAATGCTTTTATTGTTTGTCTCTGGGTTTGTTTGTTTGTAAATTGTATCAAATAAACATCGAAGCAAATGAACCGATCAGACCGAAAGTTATTGCAAACTTCACATGACCCAATTGAAAAATATGGATGCAAGGATTTAATATGGATACGGATATGGATTGTTTATCTCTCTACCATTATATATATACAATGTCCTAATAAAGTGAAGTATAGAAAGTAAGTATTATAAAGTCATCAACATGCAAATGTGAAAAGTTTTCTCATCAATAAAACATGAACAAGCTGGCGTTGTGGTTCTAGGCTTTACAAACTAATTAATCAGACCGATGTAGGAGATAACAAACAGGAGGGGAACAAACAGGAGGGGACCAAACAGGAGGGGAACAAACAGGAGAGAAACAAACAGGAGGGGAACAAACAGGAGGGGAACAAATAGGAGGGGAACAAATAGGATGTGAACAAACAGGAGGGGAACAAATAGGAGGGGAACAAACAGGAGGGTACAAACAGGAGGGGAACAAACAGGAGGGGAAAAAACAAGTTCGAAAAAAAGTTTCATTTTTAAAGAGTTCATATGAAAGGAGCCCCTAGATATCTTTGGTTCATCAGCCTTTTCTTATAAACACCTTTCCGTCAATTTTTTATGCTAATTTTAAAAATTTTAAAAATCACATCAAATCTTGTTTGCTTCGTTACATCTTGGACGCACAGAGTTTTCGTTAGTTTTGCGTGTTTAATAAACAATGGGCAATAAGGCTTTAATGTATAAAATGAAAACTGTTAAACACAGAAAATACATCAAAAGTTTTGGGAATTGTAACCACTTTATTTTTCATTAAAAAAAAGATTCTAAATATTTGTTAGAATCCAAATATAAATAGTTTATATAGAGACTCCATACTGTTTACTGCGAGAGAGTACGGCATTTACTACATGTATTAAACAAATAAATGTTGAAGTGTGAAAGGGTCGCAAATTTACAATATCTATAATTTAAATCATAAATTTAATCTTGCATTGAATTTGTAAGTGAGAATCGGAAAGCTCGTCGTTTTTAGGAGTGATAGCAAAAGAAATATGACGCAGATAACCTATTGCTGCCTCATCCATTTTGAATCAGATTGGAATGGTTTCGCGGATTTTCTCTTTTGGAATATGGAACCATGATCATATATACTTGTTGACAGCAGCTGTTTTTTTTTGGCGCGGGGGAGGGGGAAGGAATTGTTTAAATCAAATATTCATATGATTAAAAAATTAATAATTAAAATAAAATTCGATTGTTTCATAAAACCTCCACCGTACCCTCATTTTATCTCAAAACTCAGAAACCCTCCCTTGAATCTTGATTACTTTGATGGATTTAGCAGTTAGAAGTTAGAACTTAACATGAAGTACCCAGTCAAGATGAAATATATGTTGCTCGCGTAAGATTGAAATTTTCTGTGTTTTCTATAAGAACTGCTCTAGTATTGTAGATCTATAGATAAAAACGAAAAAATTTTGAATTTCCAAAGGGTAACATAATAAAATGGCTTTCCTGAATCCTGACATGTATGCTTAATATTAAAGCGTAATTTAACCGTTTTATGTGTAGTTTAAACCATAAAGTTCGATTTATTTTTAAATATTAAAGTTTTTCTTCGATATATAACGTTTATTTGAGTTTTGCATCGCACTGGCCTTAAAAACTATATGACCCTAATTCAAATAAGTTAGTAAGTTGGTTAATAAATAAAATTTAAAAACAATAGAATTAATTTGTTATTTTATTTTATTATTCAACATTAAACATTTTACAACTATAGTTTACCATGATGAAGCATTTAATTTGTTAGCATTTAGCATTTCTTGCAATTTCCATATTATAATTAATCTTTTCATACGTAAACCAAAACTATTGTTACTAGATTGTTTTGTTTGATAATGAGTTTGTTTCTAGTTAGTTTTGTTAATATCTATAATATGTATCTGTATCTAGTTAGTTCTGTTGAAACTAATCTGTATCTGTTTCTAGATAATTCTGTTGATACTACTCTGTGTCTGTTTCTAGATAGTCTGTTGATACCTTTAATCTGTATCTGTTTCTAAATAGTTCTGTTGATACTAATCTGTTTCTGTTTCTAGATAGTTCTGTTGAAACTAATCTGTGTCTGTTTCTAGATAGTTCTGTCGATACTGATCTGTGTCTGTTTCTAGATAGTTCTGTTGAAACTAATCTGTGTCTGTTTATAGATAGTTCTGTTGATACTGATCTGCTTCTGTTTCTAGATAGTTCTGTTGAAACTAACCTGTGTCTGTTTCTAGATAGTTCTGTTGATAAGTGTCTGTTTCTAGATAGTTCTGTTGATACTTATCTGTTTCTATTTCTAAATAGTCTGTTGATACTGATCTGTTTCTGTTTCCATATAGTTCTGTTGAAACTAATCTTTGTCTGTTTCTAGATAGTTCTGTTGATACTAATCTGTGTTTATTTCTAGATAGTTCTGTTGAATGCGAGGGTACTGTTTGTAGCTATGGTGCTGTATGTGACCTGGCCAAGGAAGGAAAACCAAGCTGTAGATGCCCTCATCAGTGCTCTCCTTCCATCAGGGATATACTTCTCTAAACCTATATATATATATATCCTACTTATTCATGAGACAGGATCAAAAATAAGAATTTCAAGCGATTTCCATACTAATTGCGCATAATTCGCGCTACCTAGCGCAAGAACAAGTTCACTGTAATTGCGCGGGCTTATGCAATTTGCACGCTTAAACCTTGATTATAAAGCAGTTGATTTATCCGTATTTGTAATTAACTATTTTTGACCCTGAAGTGTTTACACGTCCGTTTTCAAATAGCTTGAAAAGAAAAGTCTCTGCAGAGAGAGAAAAAATAGCCAAAATAAGCCTTAAAAATGCACTTAAATTTCCTTTCATTCACTCATTAAATTGTTATTTAATTAGCATGAAGTTTTTATTCTCAGTGTCCCCAGTGTATATTTGTAGACACTAGACAGAGTAATGTCAATATCGGATAAATCATTCAACCTTGCCATAGACATCAGATAAAGGGTTCAGGGTATTATACAGTTAGATTAGTCCTGCAGAGTTCAGATAAAGGGTTCAGGGTATTATACCGTTAGATTAGTCCTGCAGAGTTCAGATAAAGGGTTCAGGCATAATACATACAGTTAGATTAGTCCTGCAGAGTTCAGATAAAGGGTTCAGGGCATTATACAGTAAAATTAGTGCTACAGAGTTCAGATAAAGGGTTCAGGGAATTATACAGTTAGATTAGTCCTGCAGACATCAGATAAAGGATTCAGGGTATTATACAGTTAGATTAGTCCTGCAGAGCTCAGATAAAGGATTCAGGGTATTATACAGTTAGATTAGTCCTGCAGAGTTCAGATAAAGGATTCAGGGCATTATACAATTAGATTAGTCCTGCAGAGGTCAGATAAAGGATTCAGGGCATTATACAGTTAGATTAGTCCTGCAGAGTTCAGATAAAGGGTTCAGGGTATTATACAGTTAGATTAGTCCTGCAGAGTTCAGGTAAAGGGTTCAGGGTATTATACAGTTAGATTAGTCCTGCAGAGTTCAGATAAAGGGTTCAGGGCATTATACAGTTAGATTAGTCCTGCAGAGCTTAGATGAAGGGTTCAGGCATCATACAGTTAGATTAATGCTGCAGAGTTCAGATAAAGGGTTCAGGGTAGTATACAGTTAGATTAGTCATGCTGAGCTCAGATGTAGATAAAGACTTAATAAAATTAAGCTAAACATACAATCCATTAGATAGATATTTTCTAAGCTAATATTGATCTGTAACATTAAGTTAAGCAAACAAAAGTTAAGTTTGCGTGAATGCACTTTATTAGCCAACAATCATGTGTAATTATCCTTTTTTACACTTTTTCTCCGAATTTCTCAAATATATATAAAAAACATAATTTAATTTGGAAAATTTATCTAAGTAAATGCTATTAGAAAATAATAATTCAATAATAACAATAATTGTTTTGGCTAATTTAAACATTTAAAAAATATTTTCAAAAAATATTTTAAGAAGAAAAAAAATGCTATTAAGTTCATAATTTTTTCAATGATCCTTTAAAAAAAATATTAAAAAATTATGTTATGCAAACCAAAAATTATCCTTTAGTGTAAAATCTTTGATAAAAAGAATATGCTTCATGAAGAGTAAGGTATAAAAGTATCTCTGAATGTGCAGGCCAGTGTGTGGGTCAGATGGGTTGACTTATGATAATGATTGTTACCGTCAGCTGGCTCAGTGTAAACTTCAGAAACCTGTTAAATTTGTTCAAACAGGTGATTTTCTTAAAATTTTTTAAATTCTTTGAAACTCGGAAAACAAGTTGAAATCGTAATAATCCTGAAATTCGGCGAAGGATTTGAATCTCTGCCACAAACTCTGAGTTTAAAATCCCCATGATTTTGCATTTTAATGTTATACAGATTTAGGGATTAGAAAAATTCATTTGTTCTTTTCTTTAAATTCTTAAAACCCGTGACATTCTTAGAGTTCATTAATTCTTTCTTTTTGTAAACTCTTTACTTAATTAATACTTAACTAATGTAAATATATTTCCAGGTCCCTGTGTCCGGGATCCCTGCTTGAACCTTGAGTGTCCTAAGAACCAAATGTGCCTTCCTTCCTTTGATCTTGCTTCAGCTAGATGTGTATGCAAGGGACCCTGCCCGGAATCTACTAAATCAGGTACAGTACAACTAAGCACAATTTACATTTACGAACCATGTACATTTGAGTACAGTACAGCATATGTTGTTATTTCATTTAAGATTTATTTTTGATATATTGTATTATATTATTTTTATGTAAATTTAATTGTATAAGAACGTGAATAAGATGTATATCAAGATTTATCAAGGTATATATCAATAATTTATTTGGTATACTGTACTGTTTTGATATCTACAAGTATAAACTGCATACTTAGAGAACGTGAATAAGATGTATATCAAGATTTATCAAGGTATATATCAATAATTTATTTGGTATACTGTACTGTTTTGATATCTACAAGGATAAACTGCATACTTAGAGAACGTGAATAAGATGTATATCAAGATTTATCAAGGTATATATCAATAATTTATTTGGTATACTGTACTGTTTTGATATCTACAAGTATAAACTGCATACTTAGAGAACGTGAATAAGATGTATATCAAGATTTATCAGGTATATATCAATAATTTATTTGGTATACTGTACTGTTTTGATATCTACAAGCATAAACTGCGTACTTACAGTGGACATTCGTGTTTCGCTTGTTTAAACTGCCTTAAATATTGGTTCTATACTTCTAATGAACTTAGAAATCAGGAATACCTTAGCAAAAAATATTTTTTTTCATTCAGTGTAAGAGAAAATGGCCACAATAGACGTGTAGACCTGTGCAATTTAACTAATTCTAGATTTGATTTTTGATACAACGTTATATCAATATTATTTAGCATTCAAGAGAAGAACCACTTCTTTGACAAATAGAGTATAAATAAAATGCCAAAATAAGCTAAAACTTGAGAGGAGCTATAGTTATAGTTAAAAAATACACACTTAATAGCTTTTAGACTTTTTAATTTTATACAAGTATAGTTCCAACTTCCAGAAACTGTTTTTGCACTCCAAGTTGCTGTACATGAAATGCTTCTTTTTAAGTACAGGTGCCATGATGCTGCAATTTATTAATGATTTCATCCAAAAATAAAATGAAAGTTTCGAAATTTTTGCAATTTGTTCTACATTTCCAGTATTTAGACATACAATTGAAATGTTTCTTTAAACCTAATTTGGTTTAATTCTCTAGGCATGGATTTACAATCGAAATTTGAAAAACCTTTGAAACACGCAAGACAGCTCAAGAAATCCTTCTGGCAACAAAATGTTCCGTTGCAATCATTAACGAATAGTTCACAATGCGACAAATTGTACATGTTGTATTCTTTATATTCTTTGAAAGAACTGTACAGCGTACATTTAAGTGACCCTCATGCAAGATGGCAATGCCCGATTCATAACAGCAACATTAAAACCTTTGTCTGATAAAGAATGAATTAGATATCAATGTCTATAAGTTTGTAAGCTGATTAATTTCAACTGTGGATTCTGTAAAAAGTGACTTGCGAATTATACTGCAGGAAATCATATTGGAATTATCTAACACTTAAAAACCTAGATCAACAGAGAATATCTTCGACATTGATCAGATAAAGGTTTAGTTGGGCATGTCATCTTTGCATAGAGAGCCACTGAAATAAACGCTTACAGTCCCTTTAATACTGTATAGTATACAAGGAAAAAAAAAATAACATTCATGAAACGCTAATTGCTTAGTTGGCTAAATACCGTGTATCCCAGTAAACATTAAACTTGGTAATTAAGTTTAAAATCGACAATCTTTCAAGATATTTAACATTTATCTAAAACACAATTTACGCAAGTCGTCGATCTCTTAGTTTCTATCGATGTTTATTGGGACACACTGTAGGCAGTCGGTAAACTATATTGACAAGAGAGTACTGGAGAACATAAATTGTACATTAACTCGATCTTGTCATGAAATTAATTGAGATAAAACTGGATAAAACACGGTTCTCTTTATATATAACAGTGATCTTTACATAAGAAGATACAATCTATATGGCATTCCTGTTACGACTTTGAGACTTCCTAGCTCCTTTAGTTTTAATGGTATTCAAAAGTATGGTAAAAGCAAATATATCTGGCCGGCTTCATATTAGAAATTCAAAAAAGTTATGTTCTTCTATAGCTCTTCAATAAGAGAAGTTATGTTTGTAAACGTAAACTATTTCAATCTTTCGTACAATTTACTTTAGTTTGACGTGCAATTTACTCTAGTTTGACGTGCAATTTAATCTAGCCTTACGTGCAATTTACTCTAGTTTGACATGCAATCTACTCTAGTTTGACGTGCAATTTACTCTACTTTGACGTGCAATTTACTCTAGTTTGACGTGCAATTTAATCTACCCTGACGTGCAATTTTCTCTAGTTTGACGTGCAGTTTACTCTAGTTTGACGTGCAATTCAATCTAGTTTGATGTGCAATTTACTCTAGTTTGACGTGCAATTTACTCTAGTTTGACGTGCAATTTAATATAGTTTAACATGCAATTTACTCTAGTTTTACGTGCAATTTACTCTAGTTTGACGTGCAATTTACTCTAGTTTGATGTGCAATTTACTCTAGTTTGACGTGCAATTTAACAATCCGCACTTCTAGAGATTAAACTGAGGATAAAATGTTAAACAATCCTGAACTTGTATTTCTAGAAAACATCACACATAGAGCACTCTTCACTGTCGGATAAACAGTCTTACATACAAAGAATGAGACTTTAGAAAATTGAAAATAAGCCTTCTTTGGAACCAACCCATTTAGAACTGAGGCCAAAATTAAAGAATTTGAGCCGCGGCTTAAATTTAAGCAACGGCTCAAATATGGTTGGTTTCACTTAAAATTGTATTCAATTCATTAAATTCGGACACTGGTTTACTGATTCGTCTCTAATTGGAAGATAAGATAAATAGATTGATAATTGTAACCGCCGTTGCTATTTATATTGGTCCTGTGTAGTCACCAAACACGAAAGTGAACCCTGATTTGAACAGACGCTATCAGAAAAATGAATCATGCCTTTGTTATTACCAACCCATATAGTTAGACCATTAAAAGGCCATATTAAAGGCAGAAAACAAAATCTATCATTCAAATCGTTAAAGTTTTGGGTAGATTTATTAGTCTTGTATAGTTTTGTGATTAATCCTATACATACTTGTTTATACACTCTTCACACTAGTATTTTGTCATTATTTAAGTATTATTATTTTTTGTAAATTCTTAATGAAGATTAAGAGAAGAATGGATAAAATTACTTTCTTTGATACTCACAGTGACTTGACTCATAAGATCTTTAATTCAATGTTTGTGGATCGGATGGAATGGATCATTATAATCCCCTCAATACATATATCATATATTGTTTGTGGATCGGATTGGATGGATTATTATAATCCCCTCAATACATATATCATATATTGTTTGTGGATCGTATAATCACCTTCTATATGTCTAGATATTGTTTGTGGATTGGATGGTATGGATTATAATCCCCTTCTATATGTCTAGATATTGTTTGTGGATTGGATGGTATGGATTATAATCTCCTTCTATATGTCTAGATATTGTTTGTGGATCGGATGGTATGGATTATAATCCCCTTCTATATGTCTAGATATTGTTTGTGGATCGGATGGTATGGATTATAATCACCTTCTTTATGTCTAGATATTGTTTGTGGATCGGATGGTATGGATTATGACTCCCTCTGCCATATGCAGAAAGATTCCTGCCAACATGAGAAAAATATTACTAAGGTTGGTTTTAATCTAACTTTATATAACTTAAGATTACATCGAATGTTGTTAAAAAAAAATTTTTCCAATGTATACTTCCAAATTTGTTTTATTCTTTTAACCTGCATTATAATTTATTGGTAAAATGACTGATTATTCTTTTTCTAAATATATATGAACTTGGGCGTGTAGCGCGACAATTTTTAGTTGGGGTGTTAACGCTGCATTATAACTTTCCTCTTCCCTTCCCTACTTTCCCATTCCCTTCCCTTCCCTACTCTCACATTTCCTTCCCTTCCCTGCTTTCCAATTTCCTTCCCCTCTTCTTAGTTATTTTACTTCTTTACCCCCCAGGGAGGGGGGGGGGGGGGAAAAAATTGTAAAAACCGGCGGGAATAAAAAAAACCCTGCTTTTAAATTTAATGAAATTAGTCTGGTAAATCTTAATAAGATGAATATACGAAAGGTTTATTATCTTTAAGCTGGAATTTTTACCATCTGTAAAAAAAATAAAGAAAGCGTGAGACAACGCTTTTAAGCTGTTCGCTTTTACTTAATTTCTCTGTTTTAAAGGACTGATAAGATTTTGCATATTTTTCTAATTATTTAAAAGTTTTTCCTTCCTCGTTTTGATCCTTGCCAGCGAACACTATCTGTTGAGTCAGATTGATTTAGTCTTTTTGACCTTTGGGTCCAAACAAACTGACAAAGGGAAAATAACGTAATTTTTAATAATAAACATTAATTAACATTTTTGAAGAAGAATGAAAGGCCAAGGCTTTGAGTCAACCAAACCTTGTAAACTTTTTATAGCATCCTAGATATATGTTATCTAAATACACATACTATTGCTGAAATGTCGGCCCGCTATTCCACTGTGTTCTAGGTTCCACTGTAATTAGTATGTTTAGGTGTATGATGGTGCCTGTGTTCTAGGTTCCACTGTAACTAGAATTTTTAGGTGTATGATGGTGCCTGTGTTCTAGGTTCCAATGTAACTAGTATGTTTAGGTGTATGACGGTGCCTGTGTTCTAGGTTCCACTGTAACTAGTATGTTTAGGTGTATGATGGTGCCTGTGTTCTAGGTTCCACTGTAACTAGTATGTTTAGGTGTATGATGGTGCCTGTGTTCTAGGTTCCACTGTAACTAGTATGTTTAGGTGTATGANTGGGGGGGTGCTTTATAGGGCATAATTGTTACCCCTGTTTTAAGAATTGAAAATATTTACAGGACCTTCACAAAGGAGCCTTTAACATATTTCCAAATTGTGTTGACAATCATGTTTGGTTTTTTACACTATGCAATGACAGGATATATGATATATAGCCTGAATCCCCCTCTTATTAGAGAATGGAATTTGAAATCTTTAAGAATGTAAAATTTGATAAATGTTTGATTTCCTTGATGTTTACCTGAAGTCTGGTCTAGACAGTTTCTTACATAATTTTGCAAAAACTTTTGAATTTATTATGAATATTTACAACCATTAAGCTTTTTCAATGCGTAGTAATAACTAACCGTAATAAAGGGGAAACTATGGAAAGGGTTGTTAAACGAAATTCCCCCTTTCTCCATAATTCTATTCACAACGAAACCCTTTACACCTTTGAGAACTTGAAAAATTAACACTTTTCAATGCTGAAAAAAAAACAAAATGTTTCTTAGTTTTACCAATTTCTGAATGATTTTTATGGAATTAAATTGATTTTTTTACGATCTGAGTTGAGTATTGTACCTTTCTGAATTTGTAAGGAAGCTACGTTCTTCGGTATGAGTAGTTTTTAACAATTTTCTCCTTTTTACTTCCCAGATAGATGTAAGATTAGTAGCATCATCGAATATTATTGTTATCATCATATTAATCATTATTAATCATCGAATATTATTCGATGTAACCCTATACCCGCTTTCACTTTTCGTTAACACTCCCTTTGAAAGGAAAATAGTAAATCAAGAACAGTCTCTTGTTTTAACGTAATTGCGAGCCCTTTAAGTCAGAGAAATTCCGCACAATTCATCGCTAATCCGTACAATTCCGCGCAATTAATCGCAAATCCGTACAATTCCGCACAATTCATTGCAAATCCGCACAATTCCGCGCAACAGAATTCCGATTGTAAACCGGCCCCACTTGTAACTAAGCATGTTATTTTATAATAAGTTCTAATATATCATGCTAGGCAGCTAAATATTATACTTGTCTTTTTACAATACTAACCAGTACAGTGTCCTCAGGTTAATAATAAAAACATTAATTAGCAGGCATTCAAATTGTTATTATCAAGATTTTCCTACAATTTGTATGCTGATAATTACAAAGAGTTTAGTTTTTAGAACGCATATTAAACCAATTATCAAGCCGAGTGTAGTTAAAAATGTTGAAAACTTGGTGTTTAAAACCGTTAGTGGAATGACGCTTTTTCCGATTTGTTTTGCACATCATTTACAATTCAGAGTTCTATTTTCAAGAGACAGTAATTGAAAATGTGATTTTCAGCATCCATTTATGACAGAATTTTTGTTGACTTTTTTGTAATAGATTTTAGTTATTTACTGGCTCATCTATGCTGTTAAAATATGATAAAATAATAACAGTTTTAAGGTACCGTTGAAAATGTTTTATGGCACTCTGTAATTGGAAGGATAATGATCTTTTAACAAATGAATATGCAGTTGCAGGGTGGCTGAACCAACACTATGAAAATAAATAAATAAATATCTTCATAACTTTATTGAGTCTCAGACACGAACACGATGTTGCATGTTTAGTTCTACACCAATTACCTTTTTTCCTCAGGACAAAAATAAGTTAAATTTCTCTGATCAAATATAATATTTGATTTTACTGCATTTTACTGTACTGTTAAACATGTACTGGCTGTACTGTGCTGTAATGTACGGTGCTTTACTGTTCTGCACTGTACTGTATTTTACTGTACTGTATATTAATTGATTTTAATGCTCTGGGTGACAGTACCTGGAAATTGCATAAGTCTTGGATTAGAAATATGTTTAGATTCGATCCTTTAAGACATTGAGATATTTGATAAAAAAATTTAAGAATTTGGTAAACCATTTCTATTCTTAAAAGTAAAAATTAAATTGCATCCGTTTATTTTGAAATCTTTCACGGAAGTAGGGGAGAGAACGAAATTTTTAAAGTTTGGATTATTTTGGTATCTGAATAAAATTGAATGAACTAAATGATAGAACGTAAAGCTGTGTGTACCTGTATTGCAGAATGTCCGGAAATTATCCAGGTAAAACAAAATATTTGTAGTTGTTAAGTCCTAAAGGGACTGTTAATTTAATTTGAAGTGTCACATGCTCGATTCACTTTTTAAGCCTTTATCGGATGAAGAATAAAGGAATTATTACATATATTATAGTCGCAAGAAAATATATAATTTCTCTGTGCTGCAACTCCAGCTCTAATAAGCTCAACTTCCTCTATTATCAGATTGAAAATAATCTATTATCAGATAGAAAATAATCTATTATCAGATAGAAAATAATCTATTATCAGATAGAAAATAGTCTATTATCAGATAGAAAATAATCTTTTATCAGTTAGAAAATAATCTATTATCAGATAGAAAATAATCTATTATCAGATAGAAATTAATCTATTATCAGATAGAAAATAATCTATTATCAGATAGAAAATAATCTATTATTAGATAGAAAATAATCTATTATCAGATAGAAAATAATCTATTATTAGATAGAAAATAATCTATGACAGAAAATAATTTATTATCAGATAGAAAATAATCTATTATCAGATAGAAAATAATCTGTTATCAGATAGAAAATAATCTATTATTAGATTGAAAATAATCTATTATTAGATAGAAAATAATCTATTATCAGATAGAAAATAATCTATTATCAGATAGAAAGTAATCTTTCATCAAATAAAAAAAAAACTTTTATCAGAGACAAAGTTTAAAAAAATGCCATTGTGAATTGGACATGAAACTCCTTTAAGCTTTTATTTACCACGTTTGAATCAAAAAGTACCCCAGGAGAGGTTTTTAGATGATCAAAACTTTAAGAATTTGCCTCCAACAATATTCGGTTTCAAAAAATTTTGAAAGTCCACGTTTCCTTTTTATAAAATCCGCGAACTTTTTTGTTTTTCTTTTACAATGCATACAAAGAGAAAATGTGGAAATAAAAGATTGGCGCGAAGCACCCTAAAAGCCTAGTTATTAATATTTTACTTTTTGACGTACTTTCTAAAGATGAAGAAAAGAGTGAAGAAGTGAATGAATAGTGAAAAATATATCTCTATTCCCCGGAGTAATCATACATGAGGCCTTATACTATTTGTTTTTATCCTGATACAATCCAACATCATTATATTAGATCTTGTATGATTTATCTCAACGTCTAGGAAAACAGGGTTTATACTTTATTCCAACTTTTGAGCACAATTATACCACTTAGGGTCGCAAACCTGGGGGACGCAATGTAAGATTGCATCCCTTAGTATGCAATCTTACATTGCATCACCAGAGAATAGGAATAAAGGGAAAGGAAATGGCCCTGGTCTGGCATGAGAAAGCCAGTCGCACTGCTTTGCAGACAAGTTCGGTACACCTTACACACACTCTTTTGTTACAGACACACCACATGACTACAGTCAAGGAAATTGCAGAACAATGTTGTCAATTATAATTAAGCTTGAATAACGACTAGTTTATTGAAAACTTTAATCAAATTATATTTTTTGCATGCAAATTTGGCTTATAGTGTTGACTTAAATATATAAATAATATACTACATGTATATTAAACTTATTTTAAGTAAACAATCAACAATAAACAAATGTACTCTCCTAGACATTACAAATACGGAGATTCGTATGTACTGTATATACCTACAGTACGCGCCTTCGGTTCGGTAAACTTTACACACACTCTTTTGGTACAGACACACATACATGACGTTTCCGCCCCCTGTGCATCACTGGTTATATGTTGTATATTTTTTTCTCTTTTAGAACAGGGTTTATACTTTTTTCCTCTTTCAAAACAGGGTTATTACTTTTTTCCTTTTTCTCAGACAGTTTGTGCTTCCAATGGAAAGACGTATAGAAACCAGTGCACTATGAAACAGGTAAATATTGAATTAAAAAATTGAAAAATCTTGAATTTGACTCTTATTTCAATAATTACCTTAAAGTGATTCCAGTAGGCTAAATGTCTGCATAATATATGGTTGTGGATGGATAAATGTGCTGCCAGATTACAATCCCTGGTAGATCAATATAAACACAAACAATACCGAACTTTTGCACTATTAAAAATTACGAGATTTGATCGTAACAACCCGATGATGTCCTGGGGACAAAAAAAATCCCATTAAAAAATATCATGTTCGAGGATAACTAGATCATGTTTTAGGATAAATTGATCATGTTCTAGGATAAATTGATCATGTTCTAGGATAAATTGATAATATTCTAGGATAAATTGATCATGTTCTAGAATAAACTGATCCTGTTCTATGATAAATTAATTATATTCTAGGATAAATAGATCATGTTGTATGATTGATGGATAATATTCTAGGATAAATAGAGGATGTTATATGATTGATTGATTATATTCTAGGATAAATAGATCATGTTGTATGATTGATTGATTATATTCTAGGATTCCTGTAGACTGGGTTTGAACTTGATCACTGTACATTCTGGAGCTTGTGAGCGTGAAAGTCCATGTGCCAGCCTACGATGTGTGGAGGGAGCTGAATGTGTACGGGATGAATCTGGATCTGCTATGTGCGCGTGCACGAAGTGTTCTCCCGTTTATAATCCTGTTTGTGGTTCAGATAATGTGACATATCCAAGTCTATGCCATTTACACCAGGAACTCAACATTTTTATACATTTTTAAGCATTTTTGTTTTCACTCATACGATAATTTTGATTATTCTTGTCAACCATTCTTTTTTTGTCTTCTGTTGACTGTCCCTTCTGGCAATTTGGAAAAAAGGTATTTTTTACAAAACACTGTAGAGCGAGGGGAGGAAGGCCAACCACATCAATCTCTAGTCCGAACCACATTCTCCCCATTTTCTCGTCCGAACCACCTCGAACTCCTCGTCCTTTCAATATTATTTTTTTTAAGTGTCCGATCCTTGAAAATAAATACATTTTTTAAAAATATGGCGACGTTAGGGCATAAAACATGACTAGAATAAAGTTTTCCAAGGATTTTGAGATGTTGGAATCTTCAAATCCACGAGAAGGATGTCAAACATTATTTAGGTTAAAAATTGAATCTCTTCTGCCTCCAAAATGGATAACTTTCACAAATAAAAATTTATACCATTTCAACCCATACAAAATAATCATTGATTTCTGATTTATTTACAAATAAGGTAGATTTTTTGTCCCCACTAAGAGATCACTACTGCCTGCCGCATGCTTAAAATTATAGAAAAAAATAATGTTCAATTTATATTATTCAAATCATTCGCTACAATTAATTGGTCACTACCCTATGAATTCAAACAGTATTTAATCATATTGTTTCGCTACTTAGCGATTTTCCTAAAGACCTAATGAACTCTTTATAACTACCGTGCGGTATTTCTCAAGATAGGATTGTAAGCCTTCCTCTTCTCAACGCTCTCCATAACAAAAGGATAATAATAAGGTTCCGAACGTTTATTTCTCCGAGACTTCAATCTAAATAAGTTTAATAAACCCACAGAAAAAGCTTTGAGTGATAAATCATACGAATACAACAAATAAATCAACTCAGGCATTAAAAAACTGTGGCAAGGAACCAACAAAACACATTTATAAATATCAAACATAACATAAACAAACGATATGCATACATATATATAAGGAATAATTACCGCAGTGATCCTAGAATTCTTAGCACGGTTAATAATAGACGAACTTGTAAGACAAATAAATATATACTAAGATAGAAACTGCCCGCTTCCACGCGAGAAAACTTGCGCCTGCGTAGTCAGTCTGTAAACAGCTTCTAAAACTAGTTTTTCACAATAAATTCTGTACAGAACCGCAGGGAGAACTCAGGAATTCACAGGGGCACCACATAGACTTCATACATGCAGCATGGCTCGCGTAACACATATAAAAATTGTAAGTCATATCTCTAACCCAAATTCAGCTGGAATATTACAAAAAACTGTTTACATGGAGTTTGAGAATGTTTTGCGGCATTTTCCGCGAAAGAAAGGCTCTTTACAGACGCTTTTTTGTAGAACATCGTTTATGGAGCATTTTCATTTTTACACAAATCTAAAATTTAATTGGGAAAATTTTATATTTCATCTATGCCCTAGCGTCGCCATATTTTTAAAAAATGTATTTATTTTCAAGGATCGGACACGTTAAAAAAAATAATATTGAAAGGACGAGGATTTCGATGTGGTTCGGACTAGAAAATGAGGAGAATGTGGTTCGGACTAGAGATTGATGTGGTTGGCCTTCCTCCCCTCGTAGAGCAGCCAGTATTATTGTACAGGCCAGAATTGCTTGGTGAATATTTGTATACGCATTCCTTTATTCACCTTGTTTCTGTACGATACATTACACAGGGTTACCCACGACTTTCATGACGACATTAAACTCAGTTTTTGGTCTTATGTCTTAGAGCAGTCTGTTACTGCGGTGTCCAAAATAATTTGTTAAAGAAAGCAATGATTTCAAGCTGTAGAGTGTACGGAATCAACGATGTAAAAGAAACCTGTCCAAACTCCGTACAGTCGTCTCTGAAGTCTTATTCTTTGTGGTTTACTCTGTAAAAGATTTTACAAAACTTCTTTAATCTTTTTATGAACAATTCATATTCAATGCCTGTGGATTTAAAAATGCTTTACGTTTTACAATACTAAACCTGAATTTAATGAATCTGAGCCGCGTCTCAAATCCGCCAAAACCGGTTTCAATTGGTTGCCTGCCTAAATCTTGAAACATTGAATACAATTTCAAGTGGAACCAACTATATTTAAGCCGCGTCTCAGATTTAAGCCGCCGCTCAAATTCTTTAAATTCGGCCTCTCTGGTTTACTAAATACAATAAATCACTCCTGTTTTCCCCAAATTGCTATTTCATGAGCAAAATTTTAAAAATACAAAAAAAAGTTTGGTGAAAATGTGTTGGTAAGGTTTCCTGTGAGGAGAGTAGACTGATTGAACTGGTCCATATTGGATCCTGTGACCATAGATGTAAAGCTAGACGTTGTCCTCCATATTCTACATGTTTGGTCAATCATTTAGGTAATATCCTCCATATTCTACATGTCTGGTCAATCATTTAGGTAATGTCCTCCATATTCTACATGTCTGGTCAATCATTTAGGTAATGTCCTCCATATTCTACATGTCTGGT